AAGAATGAAAGAAAGAGAGAGAGAGAATGGGATGAAGTGAACTTTCTTCAGAGACTACAACCCTCCTCCTCTCTTAGCACCTTGTCACTTCAGACCCCTGAGCAGACAGATGGAGTTGGCAGTGCGATGAAAGGAGGGAGAGATGGAGGAGGATGCGATGATTGATGGTCACACATGGTCGTGAACAGAAAGGACTTGCCACTGTCGGGCCAAACTGACTTATTTCCTCTAGTAGGACAACACAAGCTCCTCAGCCCTACTTCTGTCCCTCTGTGTCTGTACATCGTGCGATCCTGAATATTTAACCCCTGCATTTGGACAAAGGAACTCACAAATATGGAGACCAAGTGAGGACAAGTTGACTTGGTGTGAAGTACTGAGAGACACACAAGAGGAGAAGATGCTGGAAGGGTTACGTAAATTCACCCGGATCCTCACAGAACTTTTTGGCCTGCCTACCCACAGTCAGGCCGGCCACCAGGGACAGAGAGCAGGGGTTAGGGAGGGTGAAGGAAGGTGGAGAAGAAAGAGGGGAACATTTTGGATATTTTAATAAATGAGAGTTGGGAGAAAGCTGGTGATTTAGAAACTCTATACTTCTCCTGCCTTCTGAAGACCTTTTTTTAATTTTTTATTCTGTGCCGCAGCAACTCATTCAGTTATTTTTTCCCCATTTTTTTTACTTCCGTTTGTTTGTCTTTTGGCTTCCTTCGTAGTGTATCATCATCATCTTCAATATCTTCCTCACCACCACAGCAGGCAGACTGAGGCTGCATCATTCAGAATATCTGTGTCTCAACCCAATCTGCCCTCATTTGTTCTACCATTACACAGCAGATCTGACCTGCACACACATGGAGTCTTTTTTTGTATGTTTGGTAACACTCTCTCCATCACAACCACACGAATACACACACACAGTGTTGTATCCCTTCATTTCACCAGAAGACTGGTGTGCGTCGATTAGAGGTATTCTTAAAAACTCTATTTCTGCTTCGTTTCAGTGTTCACACACACACACACACACACACACACACACACACACACACACACACACACACACACACACACACACACACACTTGGGCCCTGATGCAGCCACACCGGGCTGAGCTCTAGGTGAGGATGCGTGGTTGCCGTGGAGACACAGACCCGATCACGTTTTTTTTATTTTTATTGATGTATCATCATCATGGATACTTCCTGTTGTATTATTTTGAATACTTTTTTTCTATTAAAAATAAAAACAGAAGCTCTTACGGTGGATGTCGTCTTTGTGTGTATGTGTGTGTGAGTAAGAGAGAGAGTCAGAGAGAGAGAGAGCTGAGTAATCGGGTACCGTCATGCTGGCAGTGGACTGAGGAGTGTGGAGTCAGTCCATTTCCCTGTGGTCATGATGCCTGAGGCCAAGCAGTCACAGCAGATTCACTTCGAGCAGTGAGACTGTGTTCTGCCACCTGCTGGTACAACATCAGTATTACAGTTTACTTTTGGCAAAAAAAGGAACAAATCAAGTGTAATGATTATATTTCAAAAAAATCTCCCTTGATCAATGAGTTTGACAATGTCTTATCAGACACAGAAGAAAAGTTAATAGATGTAATTGGGATAATTGTAAATGTTGATAATTTCTTCTTACTATGACTGATTGAGTCAGAAAGATGACAACTTCATGGTCTGACTCTTCTGTATATTGTGGATCATTTATCGCCATCAAAGAGTGAACAGTGGTTCAGTGGTTCACTCTTTGAGATCCTCTGTCAGGGGCCTTTTAGCTGTTCCAGATTCTCAGCTAAAGACGAAGGGGGCCAGAGCTTTAGAAATAACAGCTCTGAGCCTCTGGAGCACCCTGCCTGAGGAAATACAGTAGGCTGAATCAATAGTTTCCTTTGAATCAAAGCTGAAAACTTTAATCATACCCCAATCCCTGAGTTTATCTTATTTTAGTTTTTATTATTGTATTTGGAGGTCACGCTTCAAATTCTGCCTCAAATGTAGTGTTTAATTGTGTTTGTTCTTTCATAAGCTTTTATTTGTTTTATTAGGGAAAGTGTCGGCTTTCGTGTCTTTTTTATTTTTAAAGCACTTCGTAACTTCGCAGTGCTATGTGAATAAAATATTATTTTATTATTATAATAACATAATGTTTGTGTGTATAGGAATATAAAAACCCTGAGTTCCTCTGTGAGATGTGTTTATTTGCTCTGCGGTCTATTGTACACCCTGTGCCACTGGAAGCCATCATGCTTTGAGTGAGTGTGAATAGTTAAGCTGATCACCACATTATGAAAGAAAAGTTCAGTAGCCTGGCTGCTTCCTTATTAGCTATGCCCAGCAGTCTCTAACTCATAACACACACACATACACACTCCTTCATTGCCTAATATGAGTCACTCGCAGGGGCACATAAGGTCACTATCAGCAGCCTTAAAGGGTCCCTGTGGACCAGGGCTCTCAAGGCTCTCCCACACATAAATGTGTGTTGGAGGCAGATGGCTGGAAAGAGAGGTGGGCACGGTAAGAGCGAGAAATTAAGACGAGGGGGTTTGAGAAGTGAGAATGTGGGAGGGAGTGAGCGAGGAAGAGACCGATGTTGCCCGTTAACCTCAGGCAGGAATATGGGCAAGAAAATGTTCTTTCCACCCTGGTGTAAGTACCAACTCTCCTGTGTTAAAGTATTAGTGCTGTAAGTGAAAAAGAGCTCTGTACTGTGAGAGTCATGTTATTTCAGTCCTTATTCTTACTTAGATCAGGGCCACATTCCCATTTTACTGAAAAAATGTGAAAACTCAGTTGTCTGTTAATAATAATGATTCCAATAATTATTCATTAGTAAATCACTGTAGTGTGTTCAGACATTACTTATGCAAAAACACCTTTTGCAGCCTCTGAAACATTCATGACAAGTTGTTGTTTATTGTTAATGTACACATTACAAAACCCAGCTATCAGTTCAGGAGTGATAGCAGCTCCCTGTGTTTTTCATTTCCTTGGTGGTTTCATGCCCTAGGTCTTAATAATATTTTTCTAACAAAGTTGTGCATTTTCAGATTTTTTTGGATGATCACATATATATTTACATAAATTAACCTCATTATACAGCATAAATGTGATTAATGTAAAATAAACTAAATCTCTTTTTGCTCAGTTTATTACATGTTCTCTGACATATTACTGTGGCATAATCATTTTATAAAGTACAACAGACATCAGGATTCTAGACCAAAATATGTAGCTGTACTTTTGCCTGCATCCTGGCAGCAATGTGTCCAATCCTTGTGAGCAAGCGAGCTTGTGTGTGTGGCTGTCTACAAATAGTTATGATGGCCAATTGTGGTTCAGTACCATCATTGTGAGGACATTTTGGCTGGTCACACACCTTAATTGGGCTTTTTGGGGGTTAAGACTTGGTTTTAGGGTTAGGGTTAAAAATTAGGTTTAGGTTAGGGTTAGACATTTAGTTGTGATGGTTAGGGTTATGGGCTAGGGAATGCATTATGTCAATGAGTGTCCTCACAACTATAGAGATATTCGCATGAGTGTGTGTGTGTGTGTGTGTGTGTGTGCACATGTGCACACGCTAATGATTTGCCCACATAGAGAGTATGAGTCAACTCTGGGTCACCTCTAAGAGTCAAAAGGATGGATCCCTGCCTGAGTGCCCAGCAGGCCCTTGCTCAGTGTCTTAACTCTATCCAGCAGTTCCTGGCTGCCTATAATTGAGTAGTCTGCATCCACAAACCCTGAACACATTCATTTTAGAAATGTGACTTGCTCTCTGTCAGTGTGAAGTCCACATTTTCACTATGTGTTTCTTATGCCAGCCCGCCCTCTCTCCTCCCCATCCATTTGTATGTAAAGCCTCTCCCTGCAGAGCCATACTCTGGATTACCTTGTTGCAAAGCTCACATGAGGCGGAGGCGAAGGCTTGAGGAAGTTGGAATTAGATGCATTTGCATTCATGCCACACACCCACAAGAAGTGACCTACTTAAATCCCAGGAAGCTAATTGTTCAGTGTAAACACACTATGTTTAATCCATTGGCAATTATGCAACCGTCTGGACGCATCTACTCAGTGTCAACAAGCACAAAATGTGACAGTTCAGCTGCATCACTGAAGTGGCCAGCACAGTGGGAAGAGTGGAAATTGATAGCCACAGAGCCTGGTTGCTTTTTGGTTTGACACTCATATTATATGTTACTGCAGTCTGCCAAAGTTGGCGACCTGAACTCAATGGAACTGATGAGACAGTGCAGCAGGAACAGGAGTTGTTCAGAATGGAACCAAATCAAAAAACTCAAACAGGATGAGCAGTGTCCCATCACTGTCTGGAATGGACTTTCCCGCAGACAAGACTGTGCATGTGATTTTGGGTAAAGAGGGAGAGAGACCATCAAGGATAAGACAAGAGCACCATCTGCTGGTTCATCTGCTTTTCTCTTCTTAAGAGCAGTGACTATTTAATATTAGATCCTGGTGATTATAAATAGTTGCGAAGACCAAACACACACGCACACGCACACACACACACACACACACACACACGCGCGCTGTTTCTACTTCTATTTTAGTGAGAACACTAATTGGCATAATGCATTCCCAACCATAGCTCCTTACCCTAACCGTAACCATTCAAACCAAATGCCTAACCCTTACCTAAACCGAATTCTAACCCTAACCATGAAACCAAGTCTTAACCCTTTGTAGAAGTGAGGACTGCTCAAAGTATCCTCACTTTCCAAAAATGTCCTCACTCTGTAGGTTCTATGCTTAAAATGCTCCTCACAAAAATATAAGGACAGGAACACACACACACACACACACACACAACCAAACACACACATCAGCAGCCGTAAAGGAAAAAATTAATACTGTCTGATGGTTAATGTACAAAATAAAAATTTAATCTTATTACTTAATTTTACCCAAAATATAGTTTGAATGGCTGATCAATATTTTATTCCAATTAATAATTTGAATTATCTTCACTGTCCTCTTAGTTTTTATTTGTTGAAGTTTCACCACCCTTAGAAGTTGGTTGTGTGCAGTATATTAGTACTACTACAGTTTTCATAGGTAAACAAAATGAGAGGAAATAACGGAAAATAATACCCATCATGATCACAAGAGTGTCAAATCTGTGGCCAGCAACTCTGGAGTCAGAGATACCTGGACAAGAGTGAGGACACACAGAGAGATGAAAGAGTCCAGAGGTAGAGAGACATATGGAGAAGGACCCTAACCCAATTCATGAGTGGAGTTCCCCCAGCAGTCTATGCGTAATTAAATGCTTTAGTCGTCCTGTTTCTTCGGTTTGCCGATCTCTTGCAGTTGGATCTGAATAGAAAGACAAATAAGATGATATTAGTCTGACGGACAACACAGGGACCACTGATGCTTGATCTGAAGAAAAGCAAGATTTCTCACCTTAAGTTGCTCATTGGTTGTCTTAAGGAACTCTATCTGCTCTGTGAGCCTCTCATTCTCCACCTTCTGCTTGTCTCTCATTTCAGTCGCATCAGATCTTGCTTTCTCTTGGTCCAATTCCTTCCTCAGGTCGTGTTTCTCATTCTCCAGATCAGAAATCTACATGAATTAATAGAATAAGAGACATTTGTATGTAATTTCCTGATGCACAATCAATGCTGTCAAGTTTACTGCCACTATTCTTTATACCTAACAGAAAAAAAATCTCTTATTGTTATCCACAGCTTTAACTGACTGGTAAATTAAATCTCTCAATTGACATTGCACAATTTCAGGTTTTGCGTCAAAGTGCCTCTGTGTTTGTAAACATGACAAATAACAAACAACTCAATGCCCTTACCCTTTTCTCCATGTCAGCCTTGGCCTGCTCAGCCTGCAGGAACTTCCTCATGCCAGAAGCCACACCACTTTCATACAGTGTCTGGTAGGCAGCCATCGTCATTTGAATCTCATTTCTTATCTGCAACAGCAGCAGACCCATCTCAGAACACGAGATTGTGATCTGTCGAATGAGCTCATCTTGAAAAAATCCAAAATAAAGGGGATAATAAAAGTTAATATACAAAGAGCAAAAATATACAAATCCTATGCATTTCAAAACTAGCTTTATATTATGTCCAATCTATGTATGCATCTTCCACCATTTTCGATACATTTCGGCATTCTGTTTACCTAAGCACTGGGAATAGAGCTCCCTGCGAACAGGGCAGATGCCCATTTCGTTGGCCTGCCTCTGCTGCAGCTTTTTGTCCAGGAGTTCCTGGAGGCGCACAACATCTAGTTTTGAAGCAGGTGCACTGGGGATGTTTTGATTCTTCATAAATTCCCTGCAATAGCAGAAGTTGAGATAAATATCAAATTGGATTAAATCTGTGGAGAAATTTACTGTGGATAAGACATAAGGTTACACTTCATTATGTTAATAATTTGTTTTGCATCCCAAGACGGCAATGTTCCAATAAATAACCAAAGAAAAACAAATAGATGGAAAAAGCTATACCTGGGAGGAGAGATTTCATTCAGGATATCCACAGTTGTCTTCGCAGTGGCCATAGTGGAGGTGGTTTGGGGTTTAGGAGGTTGTGGAACACGGCTGAGGTTCATAGGTTGCTTCAAGGCATAATATAACATGTTATATTGAATGCACTTAATGTTATCCTGATTACATTTTTAAATAGCTGATACCTTTTTTGTATCTGTATTTTTTTTCACTATATGTATTTTTTTCATAGCTCACTGATACATCCACAACCAGCTTCATTCCCACTAGGTCAAAATTCTTCAGTCAGTAGCAGACCAGTTCCACAACCAAGCTTTGCCATGTTTAAGATAGGACAGCAACAACAATTGACCAGCCTTACACATGTTGTCAGGTTGATGTTGCCACACAGACAAAAAAGTTATAGCCACAACATCAGTGCTTGCACAATGTGCACATAGTAACTAATGATCTTTAGCTCCCACATCATGTTTTAGATTTTACAAGTTTCCAAGACAATTTCCATGTATTTCAGTTATTTCTGTAATTTAGGTTAACTTTCAACTTCCTCTAAATTTCAACTTTAACTTTCCAAATTTTGATTGTGTTGTCTGCTAAACTCACCTTATGCTGTCTGGACGTCATCACATTTGTTAGGAGTCTTCATTGTATTCACCTCTTGTTACTTTCGTGTTCTTTGAGTATTTCCCAAAGTGTACTTCTTGATCGGTTTATTGGTGGGTGGCAACCGACGTCAAGTTACATGACTGCCATCTTATCCTTTTTATCCTTTGATCCTTATACCTTTATATGCCTATATCCCTATATCCTTATATTGTTATATCCTTAATTCAATTGTGTCTTTGATCTTTATGTTTTAGGAGAGGCATGGAGTTGAAGAACTGAGTATGCTCCATTATCTGACGGAGACAAGATTATTGGACATAAATATAAAATGACCTAGAGAACTCTAGAACAGTAGGTTTCTGTGGGTTGGTTGCGTAGGTTGCTACTTGACCAAACAAAGAAGAAGCTATCAAATATAAAGAGTAAAAGGAGATACAGTACAGAATGGGGAATAAGAAGAGGAAGTAGGATATTGAAACAAACAGTGGATGGCAGTATTGCACCTTGATTGTTGTTTGCCACTTGCCAATAAACTACACAAATCAGAAGATTTTTCTTTGTCATTTTCATTAAAAAAGTCGTTTTAATCAAACACTAGGCAAGATTTAGTTAATGAGATATTTGAGACACTGTATAGATTTCAAAATATGAATTTTGTGATAGGTTTTATGTGGATACCGGCACAGAGAAGGACAAAAGGCAACAAAGGGATGTATTTATTGGCTAAACCAACACTAAATCATAAAGAAGTCATGGACATTTCAGGTAGTAAATCGGAAGCAAAAACAATAATCAAAAGACACATTATTAAAGAATGCCAGCATAGCTGGAATATAACGCACACAAGGAGACCCCTTAATGCAGTGGAACAGGAAGTGAGCACATCAAAAAGGAGCACCAAAGAGGAGTGCATCTTGACTAGGCTGAGGATACGAGATACTAGACTCAATAATACACTGCACTTAATGAACAAACATCCAACAGGATTATATGATTACTGCCAAATAGAGGAGTCAGTTGAGCACGTAATGCTCCACTACAATAAATATGTTAAAGAACGGGAAAAGCTAAAGAGGCAAATTGCAACGGAGTTAATATGGTGATTCATTCCACTTCACATTACAAGCTGATTAAGTTGATTATTGAAGTGCACTGAATTTAATCTGTGTTACTTGATTCTGTTTTATTTATATGCTCTGTTTCTCATTTATTTATTTTATTATCTGAATTCATATTTTCATTTCGAGCACTTGAACGCCACACACCTGAGCCCATGCAGATTTGTGAGAAACCCCGTTTATCAGTACAGTCTGCTGCCTGTCTGGACTCAGATGCACTTGGAGTTGTGGTGCCACTGTGAGCTGACTGTGTGTTTTCATTATTCAGCAGTGTAAATAACTATTGGTCCCAAAAGTGAACATCGAGAGTGGATCATCATTACAATACAACAAGACACGCAAGAGAGTACCTGCTACTTGGAGATAATATTTATCATCGGAATAGAGAGTATGCTTCATTTTCTGAGGGTGAAAGAATTGGACAAAAGAATTTAATATGCCCTAGATAATTCTGATTCACACTCCAACACAGTGTGTGGTGGTAATGCACCTTGACGTTGGTTGCCACTTGCCAATAAACCAAACAAAGAAGAAGAAGCTGGAGGTTTTGGGGTGTTTTACACTTTCCCCATCTATTTGGGATCAAATAATTGCAGAAAAAGTTGAATATTGGAGTCAGAGATATCAGAATGAGGACACAGATGGTTCTTGTAGAGATGGTTTGTTGTTGCTGTTTGCTTTTTTATGATTGAGATGAATGTATTCTGTGAGATCCTCTCCTCACCCCAACCGGTCCAGGCAGATGACTGCCCACATTGAGCATTGTTCTGCTCGAGGTTTCTCCCTTTTAATGAGGGAGTTTTTTCTCTCCACAGTCACCAAAGCGCTTACTTATGTGTGAACTGTTGGGTTTCTCAATATTAATAAGATTTTAAGGTCTTGACCTTCTATGTAAAGCGCCTTGAGATGATGTATATTATGATTTGGCGCTATACAAATAAAATTGAATTGAAAGAGTCCCTAACCCAGTTCATGAGGGGAGTTCCCCCTGCAGTCTATGCATAACTACATGCTTTAGTTATCTTGTAATTTCTTCAGTTTGTTGATCTCTTGCAGCTGGAACTGAATAGAAAGACAAATAAGATGATATTAATCTGATGGGCAACACAGGGACCACTGATGCTTGATCTGAAGAAAAGCACATTTTCTCACCTCAAGTTGCTCATTGCTTGTCTTAAGGAACTCTAGCTCCTCTGTGAGCCTCTCATTCTCCACCTTCTGCTTGTCGATTGAGCTTATTTCAGTCGCATCAGATCTTGCTTTCTCTTGGTCCAATTCCTTCCTCAGGTCGTGTATCTCATTCTCCAGATCAGAAATCTACATGAATAAATAGAATAAGAGACATTTGTATGTCATTTCCTGATGCACAATCAATGCTTTACTGCCGCTATTCTTCACACCTGACGAATGTCTTTATTGTAATCCACAGCTTTAACCGACTGATAAATTAAATCTCTCTTTCAACATTTCAGGTCTTTGGGTCAAAGTGCCTCTGTGTTTGTAAACATGACAAATAACAAACAACTCAATGCCCTTACCCTTTTCTCCATGTCTGCCTTGCCATTCCCAGCCTGCAGGAACTTCCTCATGCCAGAAGCCACACCACTTTCATACAGTGTCTTATAGGCACAAAGGGAAATTTCAATCTCATGTTTGACGCGCGACAGCAGCAGACCCCTCTCATCACAGTCGATGGCCACCTGTTGAATGAGCTCATCTTGGAAAAATAGAAAATAAGGAGGATAATAAGAGTTCAGTTTATGTTGCTGTGGGTACAATATAAATGCCTCTAAAAACTAGCTTTATATTATGTCCTTAAACTATTCCACCATTTAAACTACATTTCAGCAGTCTGTTTACCAAAGCACTTGGAATAGATCTCCCTGCGGATAGGGCAGATGCCTGTTTCCTTGGCCTGCCTCTGCTGCAGCTGTGTGTCCAGGAGTTCCTGGAGGCGCACAACATCTAGTCTTGAAACAGTTGAACTAGAGACGTTTTGCTGTTGCTGCAAAAATTCCCTGCAAGATCAGAAGTTGAGATAAATAACACAGTGGATTAAACTTGCACAATGTGCAATAAATAACACACAAAATGAAAAGTTCAGTGTGTAAGATTTGAGTGAAAGGGATCTGTTGGCAGAAATTGAATTGAATCTAAAATAATCGTAGTGGTATTTTCACTAGCGCGTGATCATCTAAATTGTGATCTAGAACTGGCCCTTTATATTTAAAAACGCATATTTACATCGGGAGTGGGTCCTCTCTACATGTTTTTTATATAAGCCCAGACTGGACGAACTAAACACCTTTTGAGTTTTTAAGACAACTGAAGGCTGCCACAGGTTCTCTTTCTTGTTTGGAAGGAGATGAGGTGAGGGGTATTCAGCTGCAACATGACACTTCACTACTAGATGTCACTAAGTTCTACACACATGTTCTTCAATCATTTGTCTTGCATCCCAAGACGTGCAATTTTTCAAAAAATAACTAAAACAAATGACCAAAGAAAAATCAAACAGATAGAAAAAGCTATACCTGAGTGGAGAGATGTCATCCAGGATATCCACAATTTCCAGCCCAGTGGCCTCAGTGGAGGTGGTTTTGGGTTTAGGATATGGTGGAACAGAGTTGAAGTTCTGCTGAGACCTCAGCTTTAGACTACTCCTCTGTCGTAAATAGTTCATAGTATTAAATTTAGTATATTACATGCACTTAACATAAAATAACAGTTGGGGTAAACTGTCAGTGACAGACGTGTTCCATGTATAAAACAGGACATTAACCTAGACCAGTCTTAAACATGTTATCAGGTTGATGTTGCCACACAGACAAAAAAGTAACAGGTGAGATTTCAGTGCTTGCACACAATAAGTGCTGCCACCGTTGTTTTTTTTGTCAGCATTTAAAGAGAGAAAACGCAGCAAAATGATTTACATCTCAGCATCTTGAGCTTATGATTCACATTGTACATGTCAAAGACCTATGTCTTTCAGTTAATTCTGGAACTAATGTTAACTTTCAACTTTGAGCTTTTCAAGTTTGATTCTGCTGTTCTCTAACTCACCGTAAGATGTTTGGACACAAGTCCAGGAGGAGGATGAGACTTAAATAGCTTGAATTTGTTCCCAAAGAGCGGCATCTTTCATGACTTTTGTGTTCTTTTGGTATTTAAAAAATGCAGTACTTGCTGAAAATACTGTGTGAATGCTGAAACGCTTTGTTGAATCAAACTGTTTCCACTTCCCTGTTCTGTTTATTGGTCAGTGGCAACCAACATCAGGGTGCATTATCAAGGGAATTTGATTACATTAAAGATCATGGGAATCTGTTTTGATCAAAGGAATGTGATGCAGTATTTCTGCAAGAGGTGCTCATTGCCCACCTACCGGTTAATAAACCAAACAAAGAAAATGATGTTTCTGCAAAGATCAAAGAAATATTAACTGGGTTGGGGTTACTTACAATATGATCAAACTTAACTGAAGAAGCTTCTTGGATGAGAAGTTAAACATTTTACATCAGCTGGTTTCAGACATGGAGTGACTCCAAGTGAAGGTCCACACCCAATTCTGCAGACATTTTCAGGGGTTTGCCTTCCATACATGAACAATGCAGCAGGAGATTCTCCGCTCAGACAGCTTCAAAACAACTCAGAAATCAAAGAGTGTTATGGTGAGGTTGTGGACACATCTGAAAAGGGAACCTCCTGCTTCATTGTTCATGTGTAATGGTCTGTATTTATAAAGCACTTTTCTAGTGATGGCCACTCAAAGTGCCAACAGTATGATCCTTGATCAAGAGGAAAATATTTATTTTATATGTAATTATGAACCCTTACCTTAAGTTGCTGATTGGCTCACTTGAGGAACTGTACTGTACTGAACAGTAGACAAGATTTAGTTATTGAGATATTTGAGACTTCTTGTAATATTGTGACTAATGTGGATACTGGCACACAGGAATAATGGACAATGAAGAGGTGGATTTATTAGCTAAGCAAGCTCTAAATCATGAAGAAGTCATGGACACTCCCTTTAATAAATCGGATAATTTTTTGGCATATTTTTGACATCTGGCATTTGTGTGCACTTTTAGTATGAACCCTATGGACTGTTTTATAAATTAGGCCTGGTGTGTGTCCTTGTTTGAAATCCTATTCCCGCGGCAACAGGGACGGGTTTCTGAGTCTCCGTTTCCTCTGTTTTGAGGACTGAATAGGCAAAAGTTTAGCTGTAGTGCTAAGACTTGACAAGAGTGTTCTGCTGTGATACCAGAAGCAGAAATCTCAAGGTTAGCTAACAGCTGGTGACAGAAGCGAAGTAATGTCCGCATGTGGGCGGTTAAGCAGCCATGTGAGGTGTTCTCCTAAGAGACTTTTCCTCTGCTCATATGGCTGAAACCAAACAAGATTGTCGTATTGATATCATGCTTCTGAGTGTTGCATAAAGGCCCCCCCCCAACCCACAACATGCACACTTGCACGCACTTGAATCAGCTCACAGGAACAATTAACACCAGAGAATTTCCCTCTGCTGAAATCACAGTGTAGCAAAAGCTTAACCAAACTAAATTACAAATTATGTGTTGTATTGTAGTACAGAAGAGGATCTTTTTTTCTCTCTCAAAGAAACCAAGTTTTTTCCCCTTTTTATAAAGAGCCAGAATCCTCTCCCTCTCTCTCTCTCTCTCTCTCTCTCTCTCTCTCTCTCTCTGTATGACATCTTTTTCTATTTATTCATTCTTCTTTTGAAGCATTTTACCCTGATATTTAATGCTAGAGTAGCAATTTAAACTATGCTTTCTCTACTTTGTCTGCAACCACAGTTAAACAAACCAAAACGGCTGGCAGCTCTTGAAACATACATTTATCCCAAACACAACTAAAACAAATGATACAGTTTAGCTCTAGCTGTCATCCATAGTCCAGTTACAGAGACAAATGACTGCATGCCACCAAAATTACAAAGCAGACATTCTGCTACGTTACGAAAGCGAGTGCATGAGCCATTTGAATAATGAAAACGTATCTTAGACTGAGTGAGTGCAGAAGCCTGAGACTGGGCCAAAACGGTGAGGCTGTTTTTTGAGATCTGACCAGAAAGTATAGAGTGAAACGTTAAACACAAGATGAAGGTTATTGCTACAGTTGAATTATTTATTTATATGCATTTTACCTTTTGCTTCAGTCTGCGTGTTTTGAACATTCACATTTTAGTTTGACCAGAATTTAGCCCTTATGATGCTGAGCAAGTCACAACAGGGGCAGATTCCTCCAGTGAGCTGTGCACTGCTGATTATCCTGATCTCTGACCTGGACTGCAGACGGTCATAACTGCAGGTTAACAAACCTTTCCTCAAACAAAGTTTTCAGTGGTTTCTCTGGAGATTTGAGTTTGAGGAAGAGAGTGTGTGTGTTTGTGTATGTATGTCTGTACTTGTACAGATATTTTAGTGAGTACCATTTTGAGCCAAGAACATACAGAGTGAGGACATTTGAAGAAAGTGAATACCTTCTGACCGGTTCTCACTTTCTGACCCACTTTCAAAAATCTGTTTGATTAATGGTTAAGGTTTGGCTGTGGAATGCATTATGTCAATGAGTGTCCTTACTTTGTGTGTGTTTGTGTGGGGGGGAATCCTAACTGAATTTGGGGAAGCGCTAGAGGGAGCTAAAGATCATCATTACCAGACTGATTAAAAACATCACCATCTCTGGTTTGCTCTGCCCCCCCTACTGTGCCTAAGAGCACCAGAGAACAGTTCTCCAATTACCTCAGTAAAGAGGGAAAACACAACCAGGTGGGAGAGATCCTAGAACCTCTTTAAATAAACAGAGCTGAGCCGAGATAGGGACACAAGTAAGCCAGCTTTGCTTGACTGTCTGTGTGTCTGTCCCTAAACTATAATTAAAAGTTGTTACTGCAGGGTTACTGTAATCACAGTACGACACAGTATAATATTAACAGCATGTAGAGCACGGATGCCAACTTTTGGAACTGGAGCTTTTATATCTGCTAACAGCAACCTACACACAGATATTAATGCAGCATTTTTTAGTTTTTGGAGCCACTGAAGTGTTTGTGTTCTGACACCATACTGGTCACATGTTAACCTTTCAGGTCACTAGTGCAGTGAAGTTAGAAAACTTTGTGTTCATCCTTCCTGGTTTATCTGCTATGAAAATCTTATGGTCATGTAGTCTTTTTCATAAAATTATACTAAATTTGCTTATATATAAGTTTAAATGATTTCAAATGATTTCACACACACACACACTGTTAGTTTATTACATTCATTTGGTTTAATATTCAAGACGTATCCAGAGTCCAAATTGCACCGGAGTTGGCACTGCACTTATCCTCACTATCCATGTATCTCCAAGACCTAAACATCATGAGTTCAGAAAAACACTGGTTTTCAGCAGTATGACAGATTTGTAGAAGTCATCCACTTCAGGCAATGATGCTTCTGGCCCTCTTGCAACCAGTTTAAAATAGATGTAGATGTTGTAGAATAGCAAATTCCCCAAAACAAATGTGGGCCTTTTTTGGCAAACATGAACCAGCAGAGGCTGATGTGGTAAATGGTAAATATAGCCTCAATAGCACAAAACTAATTTGGGCCACCTTTGGCACCTTTGGCTGACACACAGTATTGCTTTGGCTTACTTGTGGCCCAAATGTGGAAAACAGGAGCGGACTGCCTAAGTGTGATCCTTCCATGGGGTATGTGGGCCGAATGACAGTGTGACAGTGTTCAAATGTGGACATTTTCTTTGAACAGTGTAGAATGTTTTCTCTGTATTATTAATTGACACTTTGATACAGTACAACCTTTTTTTTTAAATAAAAATACAATGTGTCAATACCATTCATTCCTGTTGTGGTTAACTCCAACTTTGGGTGACAAACATTGTCTTGTATGTTTGATCAAAATGATACATGGTGAGAGGTGAGAGATAAATATATACGTAAGGTTCTATCCCCTTTTTGTAAATCAGACTACCTTTTGCAGCTGTTACACATTACAGCTTTTGCAGCAGGCCTGCACATGTTTATAAAAAGAGTCACATTACAGGGAAAAGACATTTTAAAAAGTGCAACAGTGTGTCTGGCTGATGTCAGAGCTGGTGACTTCATGGTCTCCAGCCTCTTAGTGCAGCATCCAAGAGGCTGTCAATCCCAAGGACGTGGGGGAAAAAGGAACAAACTTTTTAAATACTTTCAGGAGGGAGGTAAGAAAGACAAGCAGAGATGGACCAGCTAACAGGCTGTAGAGGCACATATATGATTCACTTCACAATTCACTTATTATTATTATTATTAAAATTCAAGTAGTTTTTGCTCCACACCACCAGCAGCAGCCAGCAGGGGTGTAGAAGGGTTAGAGAGGTATAGGACGCCCTGCATCCAGCCTCCCCCCTCTATTACCTTGCTTCCTCTCTCCTCCTCCTCCCTCCCTCTCTCCCTCCCTCTCACCCGTGCGGTCCCACTCTGCGCTCCTCAACCGGGGTACGGGAGAAACGAGGCTGAATCGTGCAGACCAAGATGCGGGTGGTCGCGGCCGCGGGAGTCGGTGTGCTGTGGGCGCTGCTGGCCACTCTGGTGCCCGGCGGCGCGTCGGAGCTGGCGACGCTGGTGCAGGAGCAGGTCAAGGCCGAGTCCTCGCTGCTGAAGCCGAAGGTTATGATCGCCATCGTGGCTCGAAACGCGGCGCACAGCCTGCCGCACTACCTGGGCTGCATCGAGAGGCTGGAGTATCCGAAGGAGCGCATAGCGATCTGGTGAGAGTGCGCACGGACATGTGGGTTGCAGCAGTGGCAGAGTTCATTTCTTTTGGCTGACATGGTTCTTAGAATAAAGAAAGCTTATAGATAATGTTGTGCAAATACGTCTGCAAGTAAAAGTACTTTTTCCATCCTAAACTGGCGCTTGTTTACCTGCCACTTTTTCTCATGGCAGATCTGTTGGCGCAGTTTCTATGGTGGGGTACATGTTGTGAACGGTGGTCTGCAGTGGAGCGTGTTCTAATGAAAAGCAGCGTGTGTCCGTGTTTAAATATAATGACAGCTCGTCCGTGTTGGAGACCTGTTGCTGCTCCTGTTGCGTTTTACGATGCACTAACCTCGCGTGTCTGTCGGCATCCAAATTGCACACCGTGCGTAAAGATGAAAGAGCTGTGCATGTTCGGGTTTTAGTCTGAACCCTTAATCACGTCTCCCTCCGCCTGATTCAGCACGAACCTGCGGAAATGGGTCTTTAAAACAGCAGGGCAGGCAGGTATATAGTACGGTGGGGGGTGCTAACACCAGGTATATAGGGTCCTGTAGGTGTGTTCGGTGCCACAGCAGCAAATTGGGCTAATGCAAAGTCAGGATATTCAAGAGGGAGCCCTCCAGGTAAAGGGAATGAAAAGAAACACTGAGTTGGTCTGACAGCAGGGGGTGGGGGTACATTCTTGAAAGTCATGTTTGTGCGTGTGCATGCTCGTTTTTGTTCGCGTTACAGGACATTTACAGTATAAACAATGACCTTGTCAGGACCAGATGTCTTCATGGGGCCAAAAGCATGGTCCTAATGAGTCAAAAGGTCAGGGCTAAGGTATGAATTTTGGTCAGGTTAAGGATCACCCACTTTGCTCTCCACAAGCCATAAGGTTGCATGTTCGATTGCATGCTGAAATTTCCTTTGGCAAAAATATTGAACCTCAATTTGCCCCAAATTGCTGTCCCAGCAGTGTATGACTTCATATGTTTGCAACTGAGAAACTACTGCACATAGATGCACTGAATGAATGAGTGTGTGAATGGCAAAAGAAAAAGTGCTAAATACTTTCTATTTGCCAGGGATACAAGGATCAAGGATAGCTATGCATGTGCTGTGCAGGATGATCTGAGAGATTTCAGACTATTTAGACTATTGCAGTGCGGATCAGATATGAGAAGAATGCGATGGAGGACAGGACACACAGCCGCACACATCACATGGTGGTGGATGTATGTAAAGCTTTTCCTCGTCAGTGTCCAGCTCCCTGGCATCCGTTTGTTTTGATTCCCACCCTTCCCCTTGCAGAATGTCTTGATTCTGTTTGCAGAGTTATTGTCTGCTTCTAATCCAGAGACCCTCACCAAAACACACACACACTGTAGAAAATCAAGGTAGAGATGGGGCCCTTCCCTCTGGAGTGCAGTGCCAGTGTGGCTGAGTGGGTTTAACTAACAGAGGAAGGGCCCCATCAATCAGGAGTGGCGTCTCTCTCTCTCTCTCTCTCTCTGCCCTGCAGTCAGTGCAAGTGAATAGAAAAATCACAGTGTATATTTGAGGCAGGCCATGTTTATATGTTCCACATATATGTTTGTGGTCACAAGCATAGAAATGTATCTTTAGAGAACAAAGACACTCCTGCAACACAGCTTCTACCATAGCTTTTAGATGCAGTGTACTTTAGATAAAGTCTGTAGTATTTCTGCTTCTGTGGTCTTTTGTTTTAACCACACTCTCATCAACTATCATAAACCAAATGCTGATATTTATATCAGAGGCAACCCTGAGGATTCTTGGGCTATTTTAGCGTTTTTTTTCTTCAGAACAACATTCCCTATATGACCAGACAATCCATTTTTCACTTTGACACAGTCCATCAATATTAAACTCAAATCGCAGAGACCCATTACTTGATTTGATCCTTGACTCAAGATGTTTAATACACAGTTTATTTGAAATATTGTAAGATATTTAGTGAGCACACTTTGACATAAGCCCTGCACATAATGAGGCTCATCTGAGAGGACGCTGAATGAGCAAATGAAAATGAAAATTGGGTCTAATGAATAGTTGTGTTTTAGTATGTGGTGTTGCCTTGTTTCTGTGGTGATTATAAATATAAATTCAAGTTGCGAGATGGAAACAGGGGAAATATCTAAAACATTTTTAATGATGTTTTTATGTATTAAAAAACCCCTAATTGCCTTCTTGTGGTCGAACCGGTCAAGAAAATTATGTTTTTTTTAAACTCACCATAACTCAAGCAGCTCTGTGCCTCTTTGTTTCTCTTTGTCGTCATTACTGGTCAACAGGGAAGCCAACTGCTGCATTAATACCAAGTTAAGATTCAGCTCTCAGCAAAAGCATATATTCAAGTTAGAGTATTTTTACTTTGTGTTACATTTTGAAGATCCTCAGGTCATGAGATATCTAATGATAGTGGGAAGGAGGATGAGTAATGATGATTGAATAAATCCAGTGACCCCTGGCTTCCAAATTCATTTAACATTACTGCTACTGAAAGATTATTTTATGGTGTTTCTGGTTTTATTCCACGGTAGAAAGTGCTCATACGCTTGGAGAAAGAAATAGTGGAATGAGGTGAGGTGAGGGTCTCCAGCTGGACTCAAGCCAAAGACTTAGCGGTCTGGTGATACATTGCTTCACTGGTAAAGCAGCCACATTGCTCCATTTACTACCATCCATACCACGTCTGCATGGATCATGAACTGAATAATGTAAAGTATGCAGGGAACTATCCCGCTTATACAGATGATACCTGCAGTGTGTGGCTGTGAGGCTCCTCTGTGTGGGGACACAATGTTCCTGACATTATCTTCACTGGAGCTTCAGATTTGGATAGAAGATGTTTTTCATATCATCTCTCCCATTCATTTCAGTCATGCAGTCCAATGGAGAATGATGTCGGTGATCTTCCTTTTAATGTCCTTCCACAGAGGACAGGTATTTTTTTATTTTTAGCTGCTGAGACAGGAAGCTCAAGGCAACAAACAGCACTACATGTTTCGTTTGAAAAACACTTTTAATCCCTGTCTATACCAACACGCATGAAAATGCTGCACAACAAGGTGTTAGCAAAGACAACAGAGTTATACATTGTAACGATTATTCATGTTCTGTTCTACACTAGTAGAAAGGGGGTCCGGCCGGGCATATCTGTTGCAGAGTTGGTAGTTTTCTTAAGAGAATAAGAGGTAATAGAGAATACATAAAGAAATAATAAGGAGACGGATGGCTGGAGGATGTGACAGTTAGCTGGTCTGAAACTGTGGCAAGGGCCAAAAGTTTCCAGTATGAGCCTGTTCACGGGATAATCTGCCCTGATCAGTCTCCTCCACCCTGTTTCTTTGGCGATGACTCACGCTGACAGTTGGGATGGGCCAATAAAAATCGGTCTTTAGAAGTTTTCCCTCTGCAAGCAGGCATTGGTCTGACAGAGAAGTGGCAAACCAGTGACAAAGAGTCTCACACTGCTGTTAAAAAATGAAAGAATGCAGGGAATTAGAGAAAGAGGGAGGGGGGGATGGTCGGGCAAACAGAAGGTGGTCAACAATGCTGAAAATTACCCACAGGCCATTTAGCACTTTGGTTAATCTGCATTCCCACAGTAGTTTGACCAGAGCTGTTTTCCCTATTTACTATAGACCTGTTGCTGTTTCTCCATCCTTCTCCATCTGTCCTAACAGGACAACCCTGGATTATACATGACACTTCATATTGTTGTGTGGAGAGCCTGATAAAACAGGTAGTGAAAGGAACCCTGGCTTTAAGACATAGTGTGACTGACATGTGCATTAGGTCCCAGTATTCATTAGTAAGGAAAATACAGCATGGTCATGCAGCAAGAGGAGTCTGGGTTGGAATCGAACTCAGTCAGCTGAGGTCTTTATTTTTTGTTAATAAAGCTGTATATTGTTTTTATGAGTTTGAGCTTTGCAGGTGTTTTTCATAAGTGGAGTTCTCACGACTAAATGGATAAGTGCAGAATTGAATAGCTTTTATTGTTTATCAATTGACAGTTGAGTTTTCCTCAGGAGTCCACTTACAAATGTTACTGCTAAGCTGCTTCAAATGAAATGAAGGCGTATTTCATAAGCAGAGAACTTTGTGTTTCTCTTGACATCTGTGGGACAATGCAGACAAGCCTCTCTAAAGTTTCATCCAGCCTGTCTTCATTTTGCTTATCATGCTGCTCACTGCCTGCTGCTTATTCACTGCCGCTTTCCCAGATGATTTGTAGACTTGTCAGAAACTGACTGCGCCCTGAAGAAGAGGACGTCTTCCCTTGAGAACTTGTTTCTCACTTTCATATATAATTTTTTCATATTTAGGACACCATTAAAGCCTGTTGTATCTAAGGCCTCAGTCATGATATGACCAGTGTATTCCATTACATATCTAGACTGTGGCAGCCCACCTCATCTCATTTGTCACGCCTCAGTTTCATAATAAGTTAAAACACAATAAATGTCTAGCTTGGTGTGTGCAGTGCTGTTTGCAATGCTGACTTGCTCTGTCGTGCCACCACATGGTTACAGTCTATGGCCCATAACGTTTTTACCATCCACGCAGACAGGCAGACCTCACACTTTCAGCTGCAGTTGTGGTATGCAACAAAGTTCTAATCTAACACAAGACCAACGTTCTTTAGTCTGTGTACCTACCACTTGGAATCTGTTGCCCATGAGTGTGACCTTCATGCACGTGCACCCCAGTTTCCACCATAGATTGAATTAATTCTGTGGTAAATGGCGTAAGACTTCGCCCTAATCTCACACGAGAGAGCTGATATTTGAACTCAGTGAACAAAAATAAACACACCTCTCTTCAGCGCTCCTTAAATCTCCGCCCCCAAATTCATGGGAGCACATCGCCAACTCTAGAGATTCTTATAGGGTGAGGAAGTGGAAAGCACACACACACACACACACACACACACACACACACACACACACACACACACACACACACACACACACACACACACACTAACCACTTT